AGAAACACATAAATTCTACAAAACTCTAATTTAGCTTGAAAACAAATGCTTGTTATGAAAGCCCCATATTGAGCTTTATCCCCAAATATAACACGAATTATGGGGGTTCAAGCTTAATTTAAAGTTTTCTAATCCTAGGACCCACTGAGGGGTCCATAACATGAATCTCCCAGTTGGTTGACAACCATAAATAAAAGATTAAATCGACCCCAAATGGCTGCAGCTGTAATTATCATTGAGCTAGTTGGACCTCCTTAAATGTCCCGTTTTTATTCGACCGACCAGTGAATTCAATCGTTAGAGCGCCCCAGTACTTCAAAGACCTCATGAAGCTCCTCAACGCCACAGACTCCAGGTACACACACACTTATTTTTATCTATTTATTTTATTTAATCAGGACAGTGCACGTTAATGAACAATCTCATACAGATTGTAAATGAGCCAGATTCTAGCATAGTTGCTAGTTCCTGAGGCAGGAAGACCAAACAAGACAAAATCACAAAATACAAAATCAGTCCAAACACACGTTCAGACAATGGCATTACAAAATTTAAATGAATTCAATTCAATTCAATTTCATTTATATAGCGCCACATCACAACAACAGTTATTTATCTCACAGCGCTTTCCAAACAGAGCAGGTCAGACCCTACTCTGAAGTTAATTACAGAAACCCAACATACTTAGATGTCTGTGAAACGACTTTAGTTGATTAATTTTGTTCCCTATTTAGCCCTAAAGGCTAGAAACACATCAATTCTACAAAACTCTAATTTAGCTTGAAAACAAATGCTTATATTGAGCTTTTTCCCCAAATATAAGGCGAATTATGGGGGTCCACGCCTAATTTAAAGTTTTCTAATCCTTGGACTCACTGGGGGGTCCATAACATGAATCTATCAGTTGGTTGACAACCATCAATAAAAGATTAAATCGACCCCAAATGGCTGCAGCTCTAATTATCATTGAACTAGTTGGACCTCCTTAAATGTCCCGTTTTTATTCGACCGACCAGTGAATTCAATCGTTAGAGCTCCCCAGTACTTCAAAGACCTCATGAAGCTCCTCAACGCCACAGACTCCAGGTACACACACTCTTAAATGTCTGGGAAACGACTTTAGTGTATCCATTTTGTTCTCCATTTACATCCAAAGCTCAACTTAAAACGTATTTGTTCAGGTTGGCTTTTTGCACGTAGGGTCTCTGTATACTGGGTTCTGTCACCAATGTGTTTGTCTTTGTGTATTATTTTGTCTTGTTCGATAGTTTGATCTGTTTTTATTCTGTAAAGCACTTTGATCAGCTCCAGTTATTGTAAAGTGCTATATAAATAAACATTGATTGATTGATTGATTGATTGATTGATTGATTGATTGATTGATTGATTAAAGGCTTTTAGAAACACATAAATTCTACAAAACTCTAATTTAGCTTGAAAACAAATTTTTGTTATGAAAGCCTTACCGTATATTGAGCTTTTTCCCCAAATATAAACCGGATTATGGGGGTTCACGCCTAATTTAAGGTTTTCTAATCCTTGGACCCACTGGGGGTCCATAACATGAATCTCCCAGTTGGTTGACAACCATCAATAAAAAATTAAATCGACCCATAATGGCTGCAGCTCTAATTATCATTGAACTAGTTGGACCTCCTTAAATGTCCCGTTTTTATTCGACCGACCAGTGAATTAATTCAATAATCCCTTCATTTGGTTGAAGCCACATGCTGTATTTTTAATTTAAAAAAAGGTACATATGGCTCTTTAAAAAGAAAAAGAAAAAAAAAGTGAATTGTGGCTCTTTAAAAAATAAAATAAAAAGGTAAATATGGCTCTTTAAAAAAATAATAAAAAGGTAAATCTGGCTTTTTAAAAAAAAGAAAAAAGGTAAATATGGCTCTTTAAAAAAGAAAAAAAAGGTAAATGTGGCAAAGAAGGTAAAGAATCAACAGCTTAGTGTTCACTTGTCAAAATATGTGCTGGAGATCCTGTTTAAATGGTGTCTGTATTTTTATTTGTAGGACGGTGGCCAACTATGTCCAGTGGAGGACGGTTTTTTCCAGAATCACCACCCTGAGCCGGCGCTTCCTCTACAGATACCTGGACTACGCCCGGGTTTGTACTATTATCTGGCCTGAAAAATGATGTTTTTATACAGCTTTAATGGTAGCTTCTTTCTTTTATTTTTTTTATTTTACGAAATTATGAATAATCCAAAATCAAAGATTAGATCTGAATTTGATAATGTTGATTTGCTCATCATATTCCGTTTAAAATGAACCCTTTAAAGCCTGATCCAAGAAAAATAGGAAGAAAATTTGATTTTTTTTAGTCTGAAGTCTTTCTTTGGCCGCTCAACAACATATGAAGAAAAAAAACAGAAATTATTTTGATCAAATTAACGTGCAATAAGTCAAAAATATATTTTGGTGTAGTCTTCTACTGGCTGTTATCAGGTATATCAGATATGATACATTTGGCATTATAGGGTTAAGTTGAAATATTACAATACTATTATTTAACTTCTTAAACATTGAAAATTAAAGTACATGTTTGTTTTGGGCTGTTGAACAGTAAATGTCACGGTGGGGTCCCATAGATCCAAAATGGCTCAGGACTATGTCACCAGACTGTGTTTCCCCCCTAGATAACCACGGGAACCACGTCCCTGACCCCCCGCTGGGATAAATGTGTGAACTACGTGGAAAACTCCCTGGTTTACGCCACCGGACGCCTGTTTGTCGACACACACTTCCAGGAGGACAAGAAACAAATGGTGTGTACCTGGAAAATATTTAAAAAGAAAAAACAGAAATACATCCTAATAACAATAATAATAAATAATTTATCACTATGCGATAAGTCAAGATTATTTTTTATGTAGTATTCTGCAGGATTTTGAGCAAAGTTTTTACCATTAAATTAACCCTTTAAAGCCTGATCCAAGAATAAAACAAAACAGAAAATTACTTCTTTTTTTTTTTATTCCTTATTTGGCCTTTTAACAAAATATGGAAAAAAGAAAAAATTGAAATACATTTTTAATATTAATAATTTATTACTATATGTTTTGTGTAGTCTTCTGCCCCCTGTTATCAGGTGTATCTGATTGTGTACAATAGGATTTTGAGCAAAGTTTTTACCAATAAATGATGCAAAAGGAGTCAGACGCAAAACATTTCAGAAACCGTGTCCGGGATGTGGGGGTTTTATCTGGAGTTTCTTTACCTGAGGTGTAATTATTTATTTATTTTATTTAAATTCGTAGATGGAGGAGCTGATCGAGGGCGTCCGATGGGCATTTATTGACATGCTGGAGAAGGAGAACGACTGGATGGATAAACCAACCAAGAAGAGAGCAGTAGAAAAGGTGAAGCCTATTTAACCCTTTAAAGCCTGATCCAAGAATAAAACAAAACAGAAAATTACTTCTTTTTTTTTTTGTTTGAATTCCTTATTTGCCCTTTTAACCAAATATGTAAAATGAAAAAACAGAAATACATTTTTGATATTAATAATTAATTACTAAGCCCGCCTGGTTAACCCCTTTAAAGCCTGGTCCAAGAATAAAACAAAACAGAAAATTAGTTGTTTTTTTTGGTTTTAAGTCACTATTTGGCCTTTTAACAAAATATGTAAAAAGAAAAACAGAAATACATTTTTGATATTATTAATTAATTACTATGCGATAAGTCAAGATTATTTTTTGTGTAGTCTTCTGCCCCCTGTTATCAGGTGTATCTGATTGTGTACAATAGGATTTTGAGCAAAGTTTTTACCATTAAATTATGCAAAAGGTGTCAGACGCAAAACATTTAAGAAACCGTATGTATCAAATATGATACATTTCGCATTATGGGGTTAAAAATAATGAAAATAGATGCACTTGATTGATCCCAGGCTTTGTATCACAAGCCAAAAGAGATTTTCTGATTTTACCATGAACCCACTACCTTTTGTTAGAAAAAATATAATAATTATAATGCATTTTTTAAAATTCTCTTCTCTCTCTAAAGGCTCATGCAGTCCTGGCTAAGGTCGGCTACCCCGAGTTTATTTTAAATGACACCTACCTCAATGAAGACTTAAACCAGGTGTGTATATAACGAATTTAAACCGGTGGTTTTATAGAGGAAGGAAGTCAGTATAGAGTTAAAATCTCTCATAGGCCAAACGTTTTCCTGATTTTGTTTGTTTTTTGCTTTTTTTAAACAAATTTTTTATTAAATTTTCAGAAATAATACAGTGTTGTACGAATGTAAATGTGTATGTTTATATTTTTAAACATAAAAAAACAGAACACAAACACAGGGTGATTTCAAGAGTGTGAAAAAAGACAAAAAAAAACATAATTGCATTATTAGTGGAACGACAGGTCTCCAACGTTTATTTAATATGGGTATTTGTAGTCTCAGAGAATATGTTATCTGTTCCATTTGGTATATTTCCCAGACCTTCTGAATCCAAATATTGTAGAAAGAGGCTCAGGTTTGAGCCATCTGATTGTTATACATTCTAGAGCAGCTAAATATTAATAATATTACTAATATATTCAAAAGATATTTTTCATGTCGTGTAATAATGGTTGTAAATGTTACTCCCAATAAGACAATGTCTATATTGAATGGGATTTCCTGTTTGAAGATTTTGGAAAGACATCAAAAATGTCTTTCCAAAACAGATTTAATTTAGGGCATTGCCAAAATATCTGTGTAATTAGCATTATCAGTTCCACATTTTCTCCAACATGATCTTACGTATGTTGGTCCCATTTTAGCCGATATAGCTGCTATTCTAAAGAATCTAGTTGGAACTTTCCATTTGAATTCTCGCCAAGTGTTTGAATTTGTGACAAGGTGTGACTCCGATTTTGTTTGGTTTTGATGTAAAAAATGATTAACAGACAAAGTTGTGTTTTTAAATGACGAGTTATAGTTTCTTAACGTATCCGGATTATGGTCGTAAATATTCAGCCGGGTTTCCAGTTGCCAGTGAAATGTCCGGAGGAGTTACGACTCGGTGTTAAATGAATCAATGCCGTACTGACTTCAGCTCCAGTTCGACGAGAAGGATTACTATGGAAACGTGATGCAGACCTTGAAGTTCATCGGCCAATCGGATGTGGCCTGGCTCCGGAAGAGCGTCCCGCGGACAGAGTAAGAGATGCTGACTCGGCGGGTTTTCAGACGCCTGAAGGGAGACAAAAAGAAATGTGGAGAGGAAAAAGGATCCTCTGAGAACCTTTTTGGGTCCCTTTAGCTAAATCCTAGCCCAGATCCGTTGTCCTAAGATGGAAAGCCCGCCTGGTTAACCCTTTAAAGCCTGGTCCAAGAATAAAACAGAACAGAAAATTACTTTTTTTTTGTTTTAAGAGTCTATTTGGCCTTTTAACAAAATATGTAAAAAGAAAAAACAAAAATAAATTTTTAATATTAATCATTTACTACTATGTGATAAGTCAAGGTTATTTTTTATGTAGTATTCTGCAGGATTTTGAGCAAAGTTTTTACCATTAAATGAACCCTTTAACGCCTGGTCCAAGAATAAAACAAAACAGAAAATTACTTTTTTGGGGTTTTAAGTCACTATTTGGCCTTTTAACAAAACATATAAAAAGAAAAAACAAAAATAAATTATTAATATTAATAATTTATTAGTATGCGATAAGTCAAGATTATTTTTTGTGTAGTCTTCTGCCCCCTGTTATCAGGTGTATCTGATTGTGTACAATAGGATTTTGAGCAAAGTTTTTACCCAAAAATTATGTCAGACGCAAAACATTTCAGAAACCGTATGTATCAAATATGACACATTTGGCATTACAGGGTTAATGCCTCCTTAATGAAGAGGTTTGATGGGTTTTTTGGGCAGAAAAGAGGAAGAAGAGTCGAAGACATGAAGTCTTCTGAATGA